ATTATTTTATGTTGTCACCAAAGCTGGTGAATACTTTCGAGTTTTATCCTTGTGTGTAGTGGTTTCTCCCTGGAAAACAGGAACAATTTTTAATTTCTGCAGACTTACTAATATTGGTGAAGAAGTCAGATGGCATGGTGTTGGGATTTAAGAAATGTCAAAAGAGGAAATTAGTAGTGGGTTTTCTTACCAAGGTTTCTGTATCAAATTAAATACTCGTTACTTTGCACAGGGAGAGAGAACTTATTAATAACTGTACTGCACTTGTGAATGTGTACTGTTTAAAGTTGAATCCTTTAAAAACAATAGCAGGAGATATATAATCAAAGACCATACCACAGCCATAATTCATATGTACAAAGATGATAAATTTCAGTTCTATCGAGTGGCATTTTATCTCTGTTCTTGGTTTCTTTGCACAGATGGTCAATCTATTTGGACAGCTTGCAACTAAACCTACTGTTTCTAGGCTTTAAATGCAATACCTACTCTTCCCTCTGCTGCTTGTGCTGCCTATGTTGTTACTATGTTTCTGCAAGCCCAGTTTTTGACCCCTCTTCCGTTTGGACTGTATGGGTTGTATCTCTTCCTTGTACATGTTATAAAAGAATTCTTATAGGATCCAGGAGAAGAGATCTTTGCTTGTGGTCCAGGTGTCCAGGCCCAGAGCTGGTCCAGCCTGGTGCAGACTGTAGATACATTTCTTAACACCTTCGGCTGTAAGCACGCTGCACATTGCGGCTAAAGCTTTCTGGGCAGGATGGGGCAAGGCTAAGCGTTCACTAATGAGTGTCTATGAACTGTAAAATTTTCATTTTCCCGGGGTTTATATCTTGAGCAAATTTTCAGATGTGGTAAGAGGTTTGATTGGAAGCGATCTCTCCTGAATTTTCATCCTTCTTTCGAGCCAGTGTCAGAGAAAAGGTAAAGCTTTATAGCTCATAAAGGAAGGATCTCAAGACAAGTGAGCATAGGGAAACCAATATACATGCTTCCTGAATACTCTCAATCCAAGAACAGTTCAATCATTTTGACTTAAATGACTGAACAAAATGAAGTTTAAAAGCTTGAATCTATCATAGCCATTTGACATGGAACATTTTAGCCCAAAGAACTGCAGTTACATATAGTTTTAACAAATTTTAAAGGCAGCTGTATCATGGGAGGTACCACACAACCTGAATAATGGGTGGTGGTCAGTCCTACCTGTCATTTAAAAAAAATTCTGCCCAGATTGAATTTATGCAAGTTTAAATGTTTGACAGTAGCCTTTAGTGCATTGGAATCTATGTGAACCAAAACCACTAAACCCTTCTTTGTGATTTGTTTCCAGATGTACACAATATATGTCACAAAAACACAATTGGTCTTAATTTTTACTTTATATGCAATATATTTATAATAATACAATAGTAAAACCTTAAATACACATTAGCAGATATAAACCAGATGCAGAGGCAGGCTAGGAATAATAGAAAAAAGATAAATTGAATATTTCATGAATTGAGAAGACTCCTTCCACAAGAGTAATGGATTAAATATCTATCCTCTGTAATGGAACGTACAGAAGTCTTTGCCAAAATGTGGTGCTCATTGTACAGTGTTTTTAAGACTGAATTTCTCTTTGGCTTTTACAGTGTAGTAGAATTTTGATGGACACATGCCATATCTTTATGTGAAATTAAATGGATATGTATGCCCTAGATCAGTATTTCAGCAGCTATGAAAAATATTAAATAAATATGTCACTATTTTTTTAAATAAGACTTCTTCTCAACTTATTTTGTGTCATGCTGCTGGATTTCAATAATTCCAGGACCAAAAATAATAGCTTTATATTTACTTTCATAAATGATCTGTCAGCTGAATGTATTTTGTTCTTTGATTCATCAGAAATATTGTGTGCATACTTCACTTTAAAAACAAGTGGTTGAAGTTCTCAGCTTATGGTTTAGAGTTTAGTTTTTTACAGAACTGATATTGCAGAAAAATGTTACCATTTTGTTAGAGACTATAGTTTCAAGTGAAGGGAAGTTACAAGTACTTCAATTTTTTTCTTATCAAGAAAAGGGTTTTCCTCTGCCTTTCAGTCTATGTAACACTTATGCATTTCACAGCAGTCACTCTTAATTACCTTCCTTGTCATCTAATGCTGGCTTTCATTTCCACTCTTGCTAGACTTCAGAGACTGCTCCACTGAAAGTTGCTTTGAAAGTATTTTGGTTTTTCATCTAAGTTTGCTTTCCCTGTGTCACGTGTGTAATTTATTTTGTGCTCTATGATCTTTTCTGTCCTGGGGAGCACACCTGCCCTGATGGCTGGTGGATAGAAGTACTTGGGATCAGTTCCAGGAGGGAACCCAGGAGAGTTGAGTGTTCGTATACATTTGATTTGGAGTCCTATTTCTTTCTTCTGACAGTGAGTTAGTGTGAAGCTAAGGGTCCTTGGGCTTTCACATGCTTAATTGGGGTGTAAGTGTCTAAACTTCTAATTATTTTTAAAAAAATTATCTACCTTCTCTGAACTGGAAATGGGAACACGATTCATTAAATAGCTTTGAGAATCAGATCCAGGACTTTGAGTGAGCTGTAGGAATTGTTTGCTAACTGCTTGGAGGATTGGCAATATGAAGGAATGAAAACTTTGTTCTGTTAGAGTCATGTCAGATAAATAGGAAAACTTTATTGGCTGTCTGGCTTTTAAGGCCTGTTGTTGACACTAAACCTGTTTAAGAACCATGGATGGCAGATAGACATGATGTGTGCTAACTGGAGTCTGCATCTTTTTTTCTTTGCTTTCAGCTTCAGGTACAATGAGTTGTTGTGTCCAGAATGCGTATCTAATATGGATGAAGTTTCCCAGGAAGTTAAATGCATAGGAAGTATTTGGGGTTTTTGCTTCACTATTTTTATCAGATTGGTGAGGAACTATCAGAAAGCAAAGGAGACATGGCTTGAGTCAGCACATGGCTTACTTTGAAAGAGCTGGTGGTCTCGTCCAGCATGAAGCAGACAACAGAAACTCCTAATTGGATGGCTACAGTTGGCATAGGTTAACACTTGTCAGTCCTTAGGCAGGTTTCCCCAGAAGAGCATTAGGGACTGATTGGTGGCTGCCAGGTAATTACCTTGCCATTGACCAGCTGGAAGATCTGATATAAAGTTTTCCATTTGGCTTTTTTTTCTCCAGAAAGTTGAATAGCTATTACACTTGCCTTTTACATGGTAGTATTGTAAACCATCTCAGCATTCATGTGCTGTTCTCTTCATATGAAGAGAACAGAGCAGCTGTTTCTCTTTTAGTGTAATGATGAATAGCTTGTGCTATATGATGATGGAAAAACTGAGATACAGGAAGAAAACGTAAAATTAACCAACTTTTTCCTTCAGATATTTCTATTACCTATTGCTTCCTAACTAGTGTGTGTACATGGTTCTGCTTTCTGTGAGACTGAAGATGAACTTAACTAGCTGTTATAGTTTTGTGTTGCTAGCAACTAGTTACAAGCATTGTTTCCTTCAGCTGTGGGTGGAAGGGGAAGAACTGCACATCTGATCTGAGAAATTCTGTCCTAGCTGGCTGCTGAATTCATCAAACAGCAGTCAAAAAACAGGCTTATACATCTATTCAATAAGTATATTGCAAGCTCTGATTTTTATTTTTTTTTAAAATTAATTCAAATTCTATACTGTGCTCAACAGGAAAAGGAATATATTTGTTTTGATAAATTAGTAGGATTAAAAACTGGGCTTTAAGGAAGAAATTGCTAGGATCAAAATTTGTTACATTTAATTTTAAATTCTTAGAGCTGGGACTGAGTATTCGCTATTTTATTTTGTAAGTGCTTCAGATTTGGAAGTGAATCAAATTAGTTTTATAAAGCAAGTTGTTATATTGAACAGATTTTAAATTTAATATCAGAAGAAGTATGCTCATTTTTGAAAGACTTTTACAAATTACTAAAATAGAAGAAATCAAAGGCAATAGAGGTGACAGTTACTTTTTTTACATGATCCTAAAAAGAAAACTAATTTGTGGATGAAATACTGAAGTTACATTTTATTCTATCAGCAGAAAATTTTATAGGATACTGGTTAAATGAACCTTTATGAAACATTGTTGAGATTTGTTCTGCATTTTTAAGTTCTTTCTCTAAAATAAGTAGTTTATAGTCTCACCAATTGAAACAATCTGTAGCTATAAAGGAGCCTGCGGGAGTGAAAAGCAACAATAATTCATTTATCTTCTTAACATATTTTTCCCTTTGCTTGTATTTTAAGCCATAAGCTTTGGATTCAAATGGGAATAGTTGGGTATATGTACAAAACAGCACCAGACTGCTTCTATAGAAGTGATGGAGCCTCACCCATTCTGCCAGAGAGCTGACATGCTGGTGTTTCCTTGCGTTTTGATCCTGTCTTCTAAAATTAACATATTAAGAAAGATAAAAGTATTTTTTGATAATTCAGAAGAGGGAAAACTATATGTTTTGCTACCAGTTTCTCATATTGCATCTTTGTGAGTCTATTGGAGTTTGTAGGTAGTGGGAGTTTACAAAATGCAGAGTTAAGAAACATAATTTCCTCCTCTCTCCTTTCCTTCTCTCTCCTCCAAGGAAACGCTTGCTGTGCTTTAGTAGAAACCAGTTTTACTATTTTGGTTTCAGTTCATTTTTATCTGAGGCCACATATTCTGCTTTTCCTCTGAAGTCTATGTTCAGATGCGATGCTCTGAAAGGGAAAACTTGAATTTGTATAAAATACAGTATAAAATATGTAATGACCATGTATATTTGTCTCTTATCTGTCTGTCATTAGGATTATAGGCTACTCAGATAATGTATCCATGTTTTTCAACTTTAATTTTAAACAGTTTACAGCAGATACTATTTTTCTTTGGTTTTATTGTTTCTTTATAATACAAGAATGTATTAAATTATTTTTTTGGTGTTTTCTACTGCATTTTTTTCTATCCATGATCTAGTTCTTCCAAACAAAATACATATTCTTCTCAAAATTGAAGTAATTTGGGAATAAATTGCAATATAAGCTTGTGGTTTCTAGAGAGCACTTTACAATATAGCCTGATAAGAGATGTGTACACTGCAGACTTTTTTTTTTTTTTTTTTCTAAAATGGGCATTGAATTTTAGTGTAGAGGGATGTCATTACTTTCTTTTATTTTAAATTCAGTCAGTGTGAAATTTACACTTAATAGCCAGCAAATATTTTAGGGAGGAATAAGACTTTTTTACAACTGAAATGCAGCAGTTCACTCAGCTCCTTTTGTCCTCTCATCATCACAGTAAGGCACCTCTAACTTTTAATCTTGTGTTGTTTTCATTATCCATTCCTGGTCAACTCTGTGTCTGCTTTCATCCTATGTCTATTACATATATATTTGTACAAGTCTTGAAAAATACCCTTTCTGGTTGTTGCTAGCTATTGATTTATGCTATTGATTCTGTCATGAAAGAAATACATCTGTCATTTCTTTAGGGGGTTTTAGCAAGTTATTGCCTTCTTGCTTTCTCAGGTCTCGCTGGCCATTTGTCTTGCTTTGTCTTTTGTTCTCAGTAAAATCTTCATGCTGATCACTTAACTCTGTTTCTGATCTCTCCATGAAATAGGAAGAATATTTACCTATTGCCTTTTAAATGTATTCAGAGCAAAACTGGTACTATTTCTGGCACACTCTGTAAGTACAGTATGTTAGAAGTCTTCAGGTACAATCTAAAATTCTTTATGCAGCACTGTAACACTGCTTATCCATTATGGTTCATGAGCACACTTTCTTTTTTTCCTTTGAAGTATAAGGTTTTTTTTCCCTGTTTTAACTATAAGATTAAGTGTAACTCAGAAAAGTTGCACCTTACAATTGAGTACTTTAAAACCTGGACTCTTTTGGTTTTTTAGGGAGTAACAGGCGCTTTGACAGTTTTGATGAAAGATGCAATTAAGCCCACACTAATGCAGACATTAGAGGTGAGTATGGCATATGATGCTTGCCCTTTTCCAGCTTCCAAATTCCATATTGTGCTTGTCGTGCTGCTCTCCAGTGACTGTGCTTAACTTTCAAGGTTCAAGCCGGGGTCAAATCCACAAAGGCATTTTAGCAGATGTTTTTTTGTATATGTTAACTAATCAACTCTATCTGCATTTATACCTTTATGGTGTTTTGGTTTTTTTTTTTTCCTTTCTTTGAGACTCTGGCTCTAGCCATAATTCTGCCTTATGTTGCAAACAAGCTGCAGTGTGCTGTTGAACTGCGCTGAGCACACTGGAAGGCAAGTTGGGCTTCTAAGTCATAGACTTCCTTCTGTTTCCCATCTTGCTCTTCTAGGGAAGTTTCTTTTTTGTGTATTTCCTTTATGTGTACGTTCCCATGATGATTCCCACAGTCCAGCATTTTGAGTAGAAAGTAGATGCTTTGGTGAGGCCATTCTATTCTGTATTATAGTTTGTACTGTTTAGAAACACAGGAGGGTCCTTTTGCCTGTTTACACTTTTTCAAAAGACAGCTCCCAGCCCTGCTATCTTGCCATAGTGTCTTCAGGGGCTAAATGAAGCTTTTCTGGCCTATGAGAAGAAGGTTTTACACTTACCCTAGTGAGGTTTCTTCCAACAGCCCAAAGCATGCAGAATTAGTACAACCGAACTTTGTGACTGGGCAGTCTAGTATTGCCTTTGCAATAGTAAGCTGAATGAGAGGGAGGAAGAAAAATTGGGAAATAATGAAGCTGTTTTGAAAAGAAATGCATAAAATGAATGTATATTATTGAAAGTTTGACCATTGAAATTACATAGCTGGAATATTTCACAACAATTCCTCGTACAGCGAAAAGTTGAAGAGTATAGAAAGATACTAGTGCAATCCCCAGTTGGTAAAAATATCTCATTTTCTACAGCATGTCAAGGTGCTAACTACCTTTTTGCTTTTGTGTTTGGATGAGGACAGCTTCTTACTCTCAGGAAATATTAGAAAAATAGAATTTAAGTCTATGTTATTTTACTATAGCCATCTTAATTATTTTCCCCTGCAAATAACATCTTTTCTTTCATGTGGCTGTATAAAGAATATATGTGCATCAGAATTTAATGTTACATCCAATAGCAGAAACTGGAGGTCATGTAGGATCAAGAATGTCATGGCTAGAACTGTATATTAAATCACCACTTGGATAACATTGTGTGTGTTAAGCACCAGTGACAAGGTAGCTGTGATTCTGAGTGTTTAGTCTGTGTCATTCTATTTGCACTTTGCATATCTGTAAGAAAAAAATATGATTTTGTTGTAGTGTTCTGAAAGACAATTATAAATGTCAGAAGAGTTTCTTTTGATTGATAGGGATTTGGTTCTGGGACTTGCATGCTTTTTTGTTTTTCCCCCACTGCATTTCTTTATATTCGCATTTCTATGCAATAAAATTCCTGCCTTTTATGTGGTATTCTTTTCTAGTCTAATCTATGCTATGACTGAAACATCTACCAGCTTTCATCAAACACTATTATTTGTTACGAGGACCCTGACCACAGTACCCAAGAATATTTTTCCCCAAAATTCTTCTCACAAAGTTATTTTAAAACCATGAAACTAAAGCAGCTCTTTGCTGCTTTGAATACCTGTTGGCTTCCAGGCTAACATGAATCACCTGTCCATGAATGGAAATCTTCGGCTTGCCTAAATCTTCTCTAAGAGAGTGCTGTGCTTTGACTGATGTGAGCCTCTTGGGCTGTGCCATTGCTCTTGTGTAGAGATGCATTGGCCTGCTCTGTTACTGTCCATGCTGTTGTTGAGCCTCAAGCTTGTGTCATGTCCCATTTTGTGAATTAATACCTTTCATTATTTTTAATTATTCACATTAATAGCTTTAAGAGGTGCTAATTTTAATAGCTTCAGTTTAAAAAAAAAAACAACAAACAAACAAAAAAAAAATGGAGAGAGTGCTGACGGGAAGATATTTTGCCCTGCATACTTGAATATAGTGCAGTGATCCACCTTGTGAGTTTAGAGCCCTCCAGCATGACAGCTTTTAAGACAAGCTAATCCTAGTGTACCCTGACGTGGGCAATGTCATACTGTCTCTTCTACTATAGAGAATGGCATCTTTCTGATGTTGTGTGAATTGCAAGTCTTTCTTCTTGCAAACCAGAAATGAGGAGAATTGAAGCCTAATAGCATGCAAAAGAAGAGGGACTTCTTAAGTTTCCAGAGAGGCTACTGATAGTAATTGGGCAACATAATCCTAATTACCGCAGGGAGAACAAGTTCCCAATACCAGTGTAACGACCTTTAGCAAAGTACCACAACTTGACAACAGTAACATCAGAAATGATCCTGTGACAAGGACATCCAGTGTCTACAGCACACTGGTGGTGTAAAAACCAGAATAATATGATATGATTAAACAGAACACAAATGCAGCTCAGACCGTGCTGTGGACCTGTCCTGCAAGTAGGGATGAAACTGTTCACCACAGCAGGTCTTCCAGGTCACTTTGGTATTGGGGAATGGCAAAAAGACTGCCTGAGGAGGTGGAGCAGGAGGCCTTCCAGGTGTCTTCTGGCTGATACTGATGGGTCATTTGGCATAATTTGTAAGTGACAGCATCTGTGGTTAGCAGCAGCTGAAAGTAGCTATTGCAGATATAGCTGCACTCCTCCATGATCTGGTGAAGAGTCTGTAGGTGGGTATAAGTTAAGCTGCGGAGGTCTGAAGAGTTTCTTCTAAAGTCTTATGAAAGGGGAGAACGACCTACTGAGTAGATTTGCACTAGCTTTATATTGGCATCTGCATGCACTGGAGAAGAGGTTTAGAAGTTCATAAATAAAAAATGACCAAATGCCAGTCCTGCATGGAACTGAAGTGGCAACTTCTGTCAGTGTGTTTTTTCGTATGTGAATTGATGTGTGTATTTTCATTTGTGGGGTTTTAAAGTGATTTCTTGGTGGGTTGATTTCCATTGCAACCCTGCTACTTTGTCACCAGAATTGCTGCCTCAAGGTATTAGTGATTGACAGTGTTCCATATGCAGGAATGACAGTAAAATCTCAAAATGGGAAACAGGGCATTCTGCCTCCAATAACTCTAGGCTTCAGTTGAACTTACATCCAGTGGTATAGAATTGAGATGGCTTTTTTGGAAATGTACATAATGATTTCATAGTGTTTATCCATGTTTGTCATGACAGATTTGTTCCCTTATGGACTGATCCCTTAATGTTTAGCATTTATTTATACCACGCGTAACAGAGCAGCTGCTCAATGGGACAGCTCTTTGTAGTTGCAGGCTGGCTGCTGTGGGATGGTCTGCTCGTGTTACATTTAAAGTGCTACTCACAGTAAAGATGAGGGGAGGATGGTAATAAGTATTATAAATATTCTTCTAGCGGCCAGATAGCTTCAGATATTTATTGACATTCTGGGTTTATTTTCTTTTACGAAAACTTGAATAATAAAATTTCCTGTTCTGAAAACAGTCAGCAGAATGCATCCCTGTGCCACTATTTGTTTCTCCATATAGTTTATTAAGAGTGTAATGAAAATAAGTGGCACTCTGCAGAGTGGGAAGGATGGGCTGACACGGAGTTACTGAAGCTGACCCGAGAAGATATTGTTGTCCTTGTTCCAGGGTGTGCCTAAGGCTCCCGAGGTTCTGCTGGAGTTCACTCCCTTCAGTACCTAGACTGTATTTTAATTCCAGGGTTGCCTTTGTAAAAAGACCGTTCAAATAGCTCCCCAAATAACTTTTCTTCTGGTGGATTTCGGAGCTCCAAGGGAACATCTGTCCATGTGAGTGGTTTAGTAGTGTATTTGGATTTCAAGTTAGTGGCAGGGGGCCTCTTGGCTAACAATATTCTGGATGTTGGATCCCACAGTCCAAATTTCTGTCCTATCCAGGTTGTGTGGATGAACCCTTGGAAGCACAATTGCACAGGGAGTGTTGTGGGAGACCCTTCTGGGCCCCCTCGGTGCATAGCTGCCACGGTATGGGCTGGGCTGCCCTCTCACCCGCCGTGTTTGTGCTTCTGTGCATCACATCTGCCCATGTGTGCACCATACTCTAATGAGAGCAGCCCTGTAATTGCTTTCCATAAGAAGCTGAGAGCTTGAAAGAGTAAAATTAAAGTTAGAGAATAATTAAATACAAATCAGAATAAATCCCATGGATTTCAATCTAGTAGCTGACAACTGCAGTCTTTTTTATTTGAATGCCAGGAGGGTAAATAAAGGATTAACATGGAAGTAAAACTTGAGGAAGTAACACTTAAATTTAGATTGGTGGAAGTGGTTTGCATTTTAT